TATCAGTTACCATAACCTTAGCCTGAGATTTTACTACGTTGACTTTCACAACTATAGAAATACAAAGGGGGAGAATAAAATATATGAGACAGAATAAAGGAAAAAAATTAGCTGTGTACTAAAATTTAAAATAACTGCTAAATTCAAGCCTTAAAGACTAGGAGAAGGAGATCCTACTGACAGACAGAAAAGGAAACATCAGGAAGTCTTCTGGAGGAAGTCAGCCTGCAACAGCAGCTTTGATCTAATGAACTGTTGTCAAGGTTCTAGGGAGGCAACAAAAAATGGACTCAGGAAAGAAATCAGACACAGACATGAAGTTCTAGAAATACTTCTTGATTCAGATATTTTCTCTTCAGGAGGATGGTCTGAAGGATGGTTTGGTTAGGCCATATGAGCATTATACTTTTGGGTCTATGATTCTATAATTTCAACATTCTATAAGCCAAAAGTCATCTTGAAAAATTGGAGATAGCATTTAAGAATATGTATTTGTTTATTTTATGTCTATGAGTGTTTTGCCTGCATATATGCAAGTTCACTACGTATGTGCAGTGTCGTGGAGGCCCCTTGTAACTGCAGTTATGGAAGGTTGTTAGCCTTATGTGGGTGCTGCGAACCAAACCCAGGTCCTTTGCAAGAGCAGCCAATGCTCTTAACTGATGAGCCATCTCTCCAGCCTGAGATACCTTTTATTTATTTATTTTTTTTGACCAAGGTTTTTTTCCCCTTCTTTACAAGCTGCTGAATTTCTTTCTGAAGCACTATTCAAACCTCCTCCAGATATATGCATAACTTCAAAACCTATAAACCAATGTAAAGCTTTTAGAACCATTAACCAAATACACTATATCATGTCTGTTTAAGAATATGCACTGGTTTTAAAATAAATGTTTTATTTTGAGATGTGGAAGTACTACTGATAAAATAAGGTCTCAAAAATAATCCAGGATCTTAAAAAATAATAACCTAATGTAGCATTCCTGCATCCCAAGAAAAACACAGTATACATCATATATTGTTCAACTACATACTAAATTTACATACAACACCACAATCAGCCTTTAACTTTTCAGTCAGTGAAGAAGAAAATGACAAGTCTAAAAACAAAGTTTTATAAATGCAAAGATTGTCCTTTGGCTTTTCTTAGAAATCTCAGAAATGATAGTTGTTTACATGTAAACTCTTTCCTATATGTTTCTGATTCTGTGAGTTATATTAAAAATAAGACAAAATATTTTCAAATGAAATAGAGCCAATCACTCCTGAACTTGAGGAAGTGTCTCTTTTGAGCTGGTCTCTAGGTAATGGTGGCGTCCACTAGAGGGCAACAGAGTGTTCTCAGAAAGCACTGAGTGCTTGAGAAGGTGTCTCATTTTAGGTCACTATTTCATTCATTGTGCAAACCAGTCTCTACTTGAAGCCGTTATTAGATCCCTACGTATGCTACCAGACAATGCATTCTCATAAACGCTTTCTCATTTTACACCTAGTCATATTGGCATTGTCATCTCTCACATAATATATTAATCCAAATGTTTTGTCATATTACATATTTTCTTATGAAACTATTTGAACAATTTAGTAACTTTCAAACAAATTTAATACATTTTGTTTAAGAACGTGTTAAAACATGCATTAAAGTCATTTCTTTGATGTTTTAACTTAAAATTCAAATATTGAGCTCTTAAATCAAAGCGCACAAGTAAAGATATGGTAGTGATATTATTAATACAAAAACTAACATTTAATACACAATACTAAAGTTACAACTTTATATAAGTTGCCTATATAGTTTTCTACATTAACTCTGAAAGAACTCACATTATAGCCACTGAACAAATGGTTGAACCTGAGATTAATACAGATGTTAAAAATACTTGCCCAGGCAAATACAACTAGCAGGAAATAAATAAAGCTGAACTTACAGAGCAATACTCATGACTCAAATGTTAATTTACAGTTTTGGAAGCCAAAAACAAAAACAAACAAGAAAAAAAAACCCATGGTATCGCTCTTTGCCCCTATAATAGGTGAACCTTGGACAAGCATGAAGACACATTCCCATGTCAGTGAACTACATAGCATAGCTTTACCTTTTAACTTAATAAGATCATGGCAGCAACTCAATTTCCATAAAAGTTATAAATTGTCATATTTCTAGGTTCCATTGTAGCTATCTTCTTCAATCATGACAAAAACCAAGAAAGCAATTCACAATGTGAATAATTGTTTGAAAAGTTGAATATTCAGTAACAAGATCACAGGTTTTATATGTTTTCTCTTTAGCAAACTGAATAAATGCTATTAGACCTCCTCTGATTGCATACCAAATCATTCAGTCTCTAGTTTGAGCCTTATTGAACTGTACTGGATGAGTTTCATTTATATTAATGGCCTCAGCTGACCCTGATTTGGGATTCTAAGTTACTGCCTTTCCTGCTTCATCTTGCTGCTTGTCTATCAACAGGTCCTTGCTGCCATGCCCCACCTACAGTTAGCCCTTCTCAGGAACAGTGTTACTAGGGCTTTAGCACAATGGCTATGTGCATCCACCCAAGCCTCTCTGTGCCTGCTGTCTCTCCACATCCTATCTTTGAGAGAATACTAGGTAGCCAATTTGCAAATAGGTAAACTTTTATGTATGCCCAATTCTGCCTCAAACAACCTTGGGATGGTTTATTATGTTACTAGACCACCCCAAAGCATCATTAGAAATTACTGCTAACTCTAAACCGACTAAAAAGTGAAGTAAATGAAGTTGGATTTTTATCTGGCTACATCAAAAGTGCGAATTCTTACCAACTGTGTAGAACAATATCAGTTAGGCTTCATGGAGAGGCATCAAAGTGCATTTAGAGAACAACTGAAGTTGTAATGGATGCTCTGCTAGGTGTTTAAATGATTACCTCCTTCTGTCACATTATTTAATAACTGTGGTAGGTAGGTTCCATTGAAAGACAGGTTGCAGAGAATAAAGCTGTTTCTGTGGCTGGCAAATGGATTACGGTTTTAAAACAGTATTGCAGAGGTCATTGAAAATAATGCTGCAGAAGAAAGAGTTCTGTTGGAGATTATGTCCCTGTGCATTGTCCATGGGATTACCCTTTCTGAAATGAGGTTTTGGATAAGGCTGGCCCTTAGATTTGATATTTTTATGTTTTTGTCATAATATATGGAGGTCAGTGGAACTTGAGGTATAGGTTTCCTTCTCCATTAATAAACAAATATCTAGACTATCTCAAAGGAAGGTGGTGGTCCTAGGGAAGAAGCAGGAAATGAAATGGGAACAGACAAGTGAATGCCCACCCTTTAGTGTTACACAGGGAAAGAAAAATCATACAATATTCATTAGCCACGCATGGAAGCTCAAGCTGTAATCTCAGCACTCAGGAGGCTGAGGTAGGAGAAATACTGTGAGCTCAGGGCCAACCTAGGCTATGGTAGCAAATACCAGGCTAGGTAGAATGAGACTCTGTCTCTAGAAAAAACAACAACAAAAAGGAGTTAGCAACAAAGAGTGAAGCTTTTGCTCTCACTCTCACTCTATGTCCTGGATCCTCTCAACAAAGGGATACAAAGAAGGTAAAGAATCTTCTAGTCTCTGCCCTCTAGCAGCTAATAATCTATTTATGGAGCTAAGTCCCCTTCAAAATGGCTGACTACGATATGAAGTAAGCCAAGTTTGAGTGTCAACAGAAATTATGAAACACAAATATATTGCATGTCTGCAAAGATTAATGTAACTTTGAGCAGTTAGAAAAGACCTCATAGAAAAAAAGAGATTAAAAAATAAAAAATTTACGT